AGAAAGACCAAAAAAAGTTTCAAACAGTTAATTTTCATAGTAATGTCTTAACGTTTTTTTTACATATTTCCACTGGAAAAGTCCAGAAAGCGTTTTTTTTTTCACTTTTTTAATATAGCTGAACTTTATAATGCTCAAAATTCAAAGTAAGTTATAATTAAGGGCATGAAATTAATATTAATCTAAAGCATTTTATTTCAAGGACCAAGGCTCATCTGCGGTTGCCTTTGAATAATGTTTCACATTAATAAGCTCAGATAGTTACGAACTTAGACTGGCTGAACAGAGACATAATTAATAACGTTAGCCTAGATAAGCAGACAGTGTTGCAAGAACTGTCTTTTTGACAAAAACATAATTGTGATAATATCAGGATTAAAATAAAATAACTATTGTAATGACAAAGTCACGATGTAGAGATTTTAAGGGCAGAGAATAGATGCCATCAGACCAAAATTATAGAGCTTGAAAAGCAGATATTAATCTGATAGTACTAAACGAGGTCAGTTGACAGTGCAAACTGAAGCGACAGGTGTTGCTAGGATAGTAAGTGAACGTTGGTGTGTTTTGGCCGTTTTTCCTTAATAGTACAGATAAACTGATAAAGATGATTGTGATAGATTCAATCGGTGATCATTTCCTTTTCTTGGGAAGCTAGTGAATAGAATGTGTTGCGCATCTAAGGAACAAAAGGAGATCACCTTCGTGCGGAATATAATAACGAACTGCAATATTATTCTCGTAAAATTCTAGTTTTTCACTTACGGCCACTAAATGTGTTATTATTACCTTTTACAATAATAACACTAAACTAAAATTACAACTGTTAGTCTTGCACCAGATCTCGATTTTATTCAGTCTTGCCCTGATGTCTTATCTCCGTTGAGACTTGAGACTGAGCCACTGTGACCAAAATGTGGTCTGGAGGACACTAATATTATTTCTTGCGACAGGAGCGTAAGGGAAGACACTGACAGGAATCACTGAGAATTCATCATTTCAACATTTCAGCCCTTCACAAGTCCACTGCTGAACATAGGCCTCCCCCAAGGTATGCCACAAAGCACGGTCCTGAGCCACCTGCATCCATCGACTTCCTGCATGTCTTACCAGGTCGTCACTCCATCTAGTGGGGGGTCGCCCTACACTTCACTTTCATTGAGAATTTCTTTCATTAAATAACTTGTATATAACAAATTCAAATAAAAATTAACTTGTTCTATTTTTTCATTTATTTCTAATATCATCATTATCCCTATAATCATCACATTACTTCTTTTAATCATACAGTACTTCATAAGTCTACTGCTAAAAATAAACCTGGATAAAACATAAACCAAGGATATCGGATCCCACAAGCCGCTGTACTGAGTCACCTGTATCCATCCACTTCATACGTATCTTACCAATTTTACACTCTAGCTATTTGGGAGCTGTACTACCCTTCATTTACTCGCTGCAACTCTAAAAACTTTTTCGCCGTCGGTTATTGTTTTTTGAACTATATGGCCGGCCCATTGCCACTTTAAATACTCTACTCACAGACGACAGACACAATCCATAGACTTGGTAGAATCACAGGTTTACTTAGTACTCGTGATAGTTATTCGCCTGAATTGGAAAGAACATGTTGAGCATGTGTGTGATAAACTTCGTGGTATGCTTGCAAAGATTTCTATAGTTAAATGTAAACTTCCCTATCAAATACTTATACAGCTATATAAATCGCTGGTGGAGTCAAAAGTAGTATATGGTTTGTCTAGACATATAAAATGCTATATTTTAAAAAATATATTCCCGTACAGTATTAAAAACCAATATAAAGAATCAGATTACCATAACTTTTTAGTCATTGCAAAATTATAGGTATACATGCAAAGGTAAAGTTTACCCTTCTTATAGACGAATTTTCCCATGAACAGTTAAAAATTACCCATACACGTGAATACTCTAAAACTCGCAACTCTGGAAAACCTAAACTAGCATTACCTAAATACAATAATTTATATGGTAAACGTACTTTAGAATATATGATCCCCAACCTAATTAACCATCTACCAGTATCTGTAAAATCAGAACTGAAACAAAAACTACTTTATGGAATGCATTATTATTAATTTAAGTTATACTTAATATGTTTTAATAATAATTACCACGATAACGCCCCAAAACAAGCGCTCTGTATAATATATTGAATCGACGCGCGGTGCATTATGCAATGGAAAGTCATGCACTTAAGAAATACTGAGTATTTCTTTTGTCTTTGTACACCCTCTTGTCGGTGATACCGGTACACGGTAAGGTTTTTATAAACTTACGATTGTACCGTAAAATGTGTAATTAGTGAATGTAAGAATATATTAAAAATAAAAAAATGTTAAAATAAAATAAATACTACTACACTTATTCTACTGTAGATGTCTTCATTTTGAAGTCTATCACGCAGAGAATCACCAAGTTTAGCCTCTCTATAGCTCACTGGTCATAAGGGGCCACCTTGAGCTTCCTTATACGACCAGCAGTTAAGGAACACATCTCAGATCCATATGTCATCACTTGCAGCGTGTACTGGTTGTACACTCTTTGTTTTCGAGTTTATTTTACTTAATACGTAGCGCAAGTAGATCACTTTAAATTTCAGTGTAACTAGTTAGGCCACACGTGTAATCCCAACACGCGATAATATCTTACCACGCAACGGACTACTGCGATCCCGATGCTCGAGGTTCAAGTGTGATGCTTCTGATAGGGAATCAATTCACCAACGATTCACTGTTACATGGTCTGGAACATACCCGTAATCAATTCAGCGTTGTTATTTTAGACTGATTTTGGAGATATGTTTCCGAACATTCAACAATTTTATGGTATTGTCTTATATTTCTAGCACTTCTAACCCGTAAAAGTGTTGCATTAATTTCTTACAAACTCATACTATTCAGATATCTTCTATCCACATTTGACAATGTTTTGTTTTGTAACATTATAAGGTTAAACTTATTACTTATCCGTTGGGCTTTGTCGATTTTTTGAGTAAGAGTTTATCAAAAATTAAACTTTAATGATAATATTGACAAACTATTCCGGCAAAACGCTACTCCTGTTTACAAGACACAAACAACTCAAACTTGGCTCGAGAACAATGTTAGGGACTTCACAAGAGCTGAAGACCGGTCTTCGTCCAGTCCAGATCTGAATCTATTGGAATTCTAATTGTGATTTGTATTCAAACGAGTTGTAGCAAAAAATATTGACCTTTTTTAATACTTATTGCAAAACTTTATTTACGTGTTAGTGTGGAATTAAAATAGGCTTGTAATAGCGTGACCTTGACCAGTCAACAATAAAGCCCAACCTCCCCGCTCAGCATTCGAGGTGTGCAATACACGCCTGTGAATAAATTAACTTATATAATGTAATACTACACTATATGCACTATTTTAAGTATTATGAAAAAAATAATTCTAATAGTAGATAAAATAGGTATATATTTACATAAAAATTAAAAAAGATATTAGAAATGGTCTTTTGACAAATAACTTTTTTTAATAATAACGACTAGCTGTTACCCGCACACCAATTTCGTACTAGCGCCAAGAAATATTTTTATATAAGATCATACACCGTTGGTTGTTTTACGTAGTAGAGCAACGCTGCAGCTATATTACGAGGAGTTATAGCACGAATAGGTCGGCTCAACCGGGGTAGGACCATACTATCACAGAATACCAGCGTAAAATTATATCAGTTAAAGGTTGTTGTGTTTCGTATAGTGAGTGATCCGGAGACCCTTTTTTACCGAAAACGAGGCATTTCCATCTTAGTCCATTTTGATTCTTAATCGAGGATAAACGTAGATGTCTATAGATGACAGCTTTCACTTTGCCATTCTTATATAGGTACATTTTCTTAGAATAGGATGAAAAAGGAGCACACAGTCCACCTGATGGTTAGTGGTTGCTGTGGCCCATAGACATCTACATTTACCCTCGATTACGAATCAAAATGCAGATGCGTTGTCACCCGTGAAGACTAAGATGGAATGCCTCGTTTCCAGTAAAAAGGGTCTCCGGTTCTGTACACTTACCATACGAAACATAGCAGCATTAAGTTGACATTTTACGCTGATATTCTGTGAGAGCATGGTCCTAACTCAATCGAGCCGACCCATTCTTGCTACAACTGTACTACTCGTACTAATATAACTGCAGCATAGTTCTACCACATATAAAATTTTAAATAAAAATATTGTTTTGCAGGTACTTAATGTAAGAATAATATCTTGTTATCTAACATGAAGCCAGTGAAAATATGAAGTCAGACAAATCGTACATAATTAAATATTGTTGTATGTAAATCGATAATGGTTGCTGTGTATTTGATTAACTGGTACTGATTAATTATTGGTGTTTTTTTAATAATAATATACATTTTATTTAACATAGAGGCAGAGATAACTAAATGTTAACAGAACTATGGAAATATACAGTTTATTGACATTGAAGGCAACAGTTTTATCTCATACCTCTTATTGAAAATGTCCTTCTGATTCCTAATGATATCTGAATGAATGACGATGAATGAACATGTTTTGTTGGCTTTAACCCTTGATTTACCACCCTAATTTAAATATCACTTATCACCACCATGAGTCCCCGGGACTCATGTTTTAATTTTTTACATAAAAACTAAACGAAAGGTGTTATTTATGTTGTTATTTATTAGACTTCTAGCAAACACAATAATTACATATCCGGTAACATTTTGTGATAAACTCAAATTAACATTCACATTTCTTAAGTTTATAAATACTTTAAAATTAAAAGCCATCAAAAATCGTCTGATACGACTCACAGAAGAAATAACAAATGTTGTAGCTCTTGGACAAAATAAAATATTTGTTCCTATAGAAGACATTATGAGGTAATTAAAAATAATAATAATTAATAATGGCACTATACAAAATTTCAAAACGTGCAATAGGTTAACATACTAATGTGTTACACATTCTTGACATATCTTTTTGGAACAAGTAAGGCAGATTGGCTTCTTACAGACAGTGCAAAGATAAGCAGTATTTGTTCGTTTCTTATGATCAGCGCAAATATTGCTACACTTGCAGTATAGCAATATTGGCGCTGATCTCTCGGTAAAATATCAGCTTGCGATGTACTTGGTTGATCAGGCATATCTAAGGCTTGGTACATTGTCCAAGTTACTACCCTGTACTTCAGTATTGGAGCTTTCAGAATTGGTGTCGTGATCACTCCCAATATAAACGGCGTCCTCGTCATCGGAATGTGGCTCACGAATACATTGAGCTGCATGGCCGCTGTCATCGCCAATCTCTTCATCTTCGCCCAGTAAACCATCTTCTTGCAGCCTCATTAAAAAAAAGAAAAGACCTTACTCCTTTCTAAAGGGCCGGCAACGCACCTGCAATTCCTCTACCGGCAACGCACCTGCAATTCTCCTAAAAAAATTCTCAAAAATTCCTCTGGTGTTGCGGATGTTCATGGGCGGCGGTAGTAACTTAACATCTGGTGAACCGTATGCTCGTGTGACCTCTCTTCTATAAAAAGCCACTCATTTATGATATCTGAGGCTAAATCATCTGCAAAGTTTACCGATTCAATCCTTTTACGTTTAGATGCCATAGTAAAAACCTAAAACAAAGTTAACATAGATAAAAAGTCAATAAATCCATTTTTGTCATACAACACTCTACCATGAGTCCCTAGGACTCACACTCGATCATATTTACCTTTCCGAACGACGTTTGCACGCGACCGTTCACCTCTGCATCCCGCGCCTCACTGCAGGAAGGTACTAGAAAGGGCAAGTCTAAACTCTAAAAAATAAACTATTTTTTTGTTGTTTAAAAGTGGTGGTGAGTTCCGTGGACTCAGGGTTAAGGGTTAATAATGTAAATTATTACTTCATCAATACAAATATTGAAAAGTAATAAATATAGAAAAAATAACATTTTGATAAGATTTATTATTTAGTAAATAATAATAAGAATTATAATTTTTTAAAGAATATTAACAATGCTATAAACATTACTAATATTCCCCTTAATCACTCGTGGTAAGCTAAATTTACTTGTGTTACGAGTGATTCACGCCAGTAGTCGAATGGCGGATTCGAACCCACGACCTTTTTGAGTTCGCGGTTCGCGCCCTGCCATTAGGCTACTGTCGCTAAATTTAACAAAACTGTTTGCTAATTGATAGAATCAGGCGTTACTTGGCGGAAATCCGTTATAATAAAGATATTAATAGTTATTTTGCAACCATCCGCTCAATAAAATTATGTGTCTTACCTCCCAATTGCGTGCACTAATCCCGTCACCAGTAATCCCAGCACCACTACTCCCAACACCACTATTTCCAACAACACTATTCTAGGAACTTACTTACTACTTACTTAGCGGTTAGCCGCCGTGGAGTCTACATCACCTGAATGGTGTCGATGGTGTGTCTTTCCTATTATCTACTAAATAAAATAAGAGGCGTAAATCGGACCGAAAAATTAATATTAAAAAACTGAAGGTAGCCGGGCTAACTATGACATTGGGACGTCAAAAATCTCAGTCCCCCCCCCCCCCCCGTGACTATGGGTGCCGAACCGTCGGGAATTAAAAATAAGTAAAATCAGTTAAATAAACGCGATAAAATCCGTAAATGTAGTTTTATTCAAATATGTTAAAGCTAAATATATATATATATATATATATATATATATATATATATATTATCAAAATGCTGTATGTTTCATACATATAGCATTTCTACCGATGCATCAAAATATTCAACATTTATGTTATAATTTTTATTACTGAACATAATGAACTAAATGTTTACAGGTGGTCAGATCATGTACATTGGTTAACCTAATGTTCACAAGTGGTTAGTTCGTTCAGTAAAGGATTAGTTTTAGGTGGTGACTATAATGAATAATAGCTAATACGTTATTATCATATAAATAATGACTTGCGCAATGCGCCTCACAGTTGAGCGTTTACAGACTTAATATATAAAATATGAAAGAAGTTTTTTTTTACTTCAATATAAAGAATATTATATCTATCTGTTGTAATATGTGGTGACTGACACATCAATCTCATAGAAGCTTGTCTCACCAACTTTAAAATTAGGTTATTTTTAAAATTATACAACCGTTTTTTATATTTTTAGAGCCCACATCTATTGCCGAGTCTAGTACAACTTCTATAGATAACATTTTCTAATGTAAAGTCGTTGCATGAATGTATTGTTAATATTCAGTTGAAGATCAGAGTTGCGTGGTTTAACCTTGCCCGTTTCACTGTTAATTATACTCCACGTCATTTTATTTCTGTTGGATGCAGTTTTAATTTTGTTGCTTAAATGTAAAGCCTTAGCTGTGGAGCATACTTTTTTAAATATTTTAGAACAAGTTTTAACATAGTCTCTAAATATAACACTATCATTATAATATGATCTTTCATTATAAAGCTCGTATAACTTTCGCCTACTTTTATAAATGCCTACTGTCGCCCATTCATTAAATGATTTGCGTCTGTTTAAAGAGAAAGTTTTAGAAGTAAATATTGTATTTAATTCACAAGTTATAATTTTAAATAATGCACCATACAAATAATCAGCACTATTTTAAAAGAAAGTGATGGAAGTCCTTTTACAATATTACTTCAAAATTTTTCTAAACGATGTTCGTTTATTGGAACAAACTCAACTTTCTCATTTTTCTGTTTTTTGTTGTAATGCAATGAGACCCACTGTCCACAATGATCTAAACTTAAATTTTGAATGATAGATTTATGCAAGGGTTTAGCATCTGCAAAAATATTATCTATACAGGTCGCACTAGATCCAGCAATACGAGTCAGTTCTAAGAATAAATTAACAATATTATAAGATTTAAACAATGAGGTAAACTTTATACTAATGGAAGAAGTTTAAAGGAGATTAATGTTACGGTCTCCACATATAACAACAGTCTTGTTCTGTTTACTAAATTTGAGCTAAACTTCTTCCACAATATTTTAAAAATATTCATATATTATATATTATAAATAAGTAGCACATGGGGGTCTGCACACCCACAACAATAAGGTGCTCGAGCTCGATACAAGCTATTTCTAAACTTCGCTCAACAGAGAGGCTCACAATATCCTTACGTTCTTTATATAGTAAAGATTTGTCTGCTAATATAAAGGAGCCACCACGTAAGTTTTTCTCTATTGAAGGAATTGACCACCTTATTATTTCTAAAATTAAACATTAAATTATAATCTTTTAGCCAATGTTCAGTAATACAAAGGATTTGTATGTTGTTACTATTTAAAACAATTCAACTTCCAATTCTTTGCCCATCATGCCTTTTATATTTAAAAGCACCAGGTGTAAACAATTCTTACTACTTATTTGTTGGCTGCATTCTAAATTAGTTAAACTCTTATTATTATAGTTGCTAGAGATTGCCTCTATTGTCGCATTCACTAATTTAAATTAATAGTACTGATTTCAAGTGAAGTTTCAAATCATTACGCTGCTCAATATATCATAGAAGCAGTCTTGGTCGCTAAAAACTTGGCTGTGTTAAAAAGTAAATAATAAGATAGCACATTTGTATCAGCCTTAAATGATATTTGGATAGGTAATACCTGTCATCTGTCCAAAACTTCTTAATTACATTATTTACGTCAATTAAATGAAATTTGTCATTATTATCATTACATGTCAAATTTAAATTATTATTACAAATTAAATTACTCATTTGTAAATTTAAACAGTGTCTTAAATTATTTTCTTGTGGCAATTCCTTTTTATAAGACAGGTGAACAAGACAATTCTATTTACATTTAAATTATTAAGTTGTTCAGTATATCTTAATAACTGTTTGTTGTTTACACTGCCTCTTCTACCAACCAAAACTATTATTGTACTATTTGGACAAAATTTAGTAACTATAATTTTATTTAGAATGTCACTAAGAGATGCTCCAGGCATGCAGCATTTTATAATTTTTTGACCCATAAAAGGATTATTTAAAATTATGCCAAAATTTGAATTATATTTTATTTTAATCTCCTCTCTTATGGTACTGTCATAGGGTTTTGGTGGTGATATAATATTGTCAGCACACACCGACTCTGAAGAAACTGGTATTGCCTGCTGACACTCATATTGGTATTTTACTAAGGAGTCAAAACGCTCCTAATTATATTTATATGTCTTTACCAGGTTATCCATAGCCAGTATGTGTTCTTTGATTTTATTTTGAGCCGATTTATATTGATTGGACAAAGTTTGAACGGAGTCAAAAAGTAGTAAAATTTCTGATTTAAGGCAATCTAAGTTCATACATCAATGCTTGCTTTTCTTTACACACATTTACATAATTTTTGGTATTGATCTTATTTTTTATTAATTTTTTAATTTTTTTCATGTATATATTAACTTTTATATATTTATTTAATTTGGTTTTACTGCAATTAATCCTTACTGTTTTTCCTTAAGTGGAGGAGTTGTCACCTGTCAAACCTATTCTGGCAGATTGCTGTAATAATTTAGACGTATTACATTGCACAAGCTCAGATAACAGGCTTTGAGTCTGGGAGTCTTTTAGGTTATCTTTGTATGTTTTATGTTGTGCTATTTGCTTATTAGCCTCATTCAACTGTAACTTCAATGATAACTGAGAGCTGTATTCTCTGCCGGCCTCATTAAACATTCCCTGTAGCTGATCTATTTCTTTTATAAAACTAGTGTAATCAGTGTGTAACTTAACCAGTGTATTTTTGACAATTATGCTGGTTATTTCCTTTTCATTATCATCCCTTTCCTTAAGCAAGAGCTCACACAGTTCTTGGAGCGCAAGCTGAAGTTGGTTCTACATCTGGCGCGTCTTGGCGTTGCGAGTATTCATTTTACTATTTATTGTAGATAATAAATGAAAATAAGGATCGAAAACAAAAGGAGCAAGCAATTAGCTTGCTTGCTCCTTTTGCTTTCGGTTCTTATCCTTGATCCTTTCGATTCGAGTTTTTTTTTATTATTATTTACAGATCTCTTATCGTTAGAATAATTCGAAAAGAAACCCGCGAAGAATATAATAATCCGAGAAATAATTAGACTAGATCTTATCTAATAAAGGAATGATATGAAATAAGAATTACAATGAATTTAAAAAATGTTTGTTACCTGTCACTTTTTGTTCAAAGACAAAAAAGTTGTTATAATATTGATCTTACTGACTTTTTTAAACAATCAATATAAAGCGGCATTGATTACTATCTATAACATAAAATCGAGGTGGATATTATGAATTTACAATATTTAAATTAATATAACATTTTGGGACCAAT